ATAGGTTCCAGCAGCTCAGGCTCCTTCCCATTGGTTCTCACAAAGTGTGCTTCTCTGGGTGGAGCAGGCTGGTGCTTCAGTTGAACCCAGGTACCTTTCTCTTTGGCTTCTTTCTTTTTCTAATCATCTTTCTTCACGTGTTTCAGGAAGCTTTCTCACCTCTTAGAGTGCTTAGTGTGCTGCACATTAATTCTCTTGGCAAGAATCTTGCCCTTAACTTGTTTGTTTACAACAATGCCAGCAGTGTGCTGGGGAACATTGTAGACTCTTCCAGTTTCGCCATGGTCACACTTGTGGGGCATTCCTTTTTGAACAGTACCCATTCCCTTGACATCTACAATATCACCTTTCTTATAGATTCACATATACGTGGCCAAAGGAACAACTCCATGTTTTCTAAAAGGCCTAGAGAACATATATCGGGTTCCTCTCCTCTTTCCCTTTCTGTTCGTCATTTTGATGAATTACTGCAAGATGGTGGTTCTGGCTGAAAGGGATCTTTCTTAATTCTTAACCGTTATAGTTGGGGTAAAGAGGTTTTAGAATTTCTGGTAGACAAAGGAAATTGCTTATTAAGTTGTATAGTAACTTTCATGTTGAGGACAAGTCTCTGCACTAATTTGGGGAAGATCTATTTTTTTCCCCTAATCCAGTGGAAGAATTTACATTGCTTCTCTGCTTTGTCATCTTCAAATGCTCAGGGCTAGAGTGAGATCTTCCAAGGGGCTTCTGTTCAAGGGGCTTCTGTTCCTTAAATCTCAGAACTTGAATCTTAGTGATGCCCTTAAATACTGAGAACCATGGCAGGATAGGGTAGTAAACAAGAAAGAATCACTGGGAGCATTGTGAATCTGCCTGATACCTCAGGGGCATTAATTCCAGCTTTATTCCCTCAAAGCAGTTCTTCCATCCCTTTTGAGAATCTGATAAGGACCTGGACCTACTTCTGAGAAACATATGTAATACACAAATACATGGGGTTTTTTTTTTAATATGGAATTTCATATATAATTTTTTTTTTTTTTTTTGAGACCCAGTCTCACTTTGTCACCCAGGCTGGAGTGCAGTGGTGCAATCTGGGCTTATGGAAGACTCTGCCTCCCAGGTTCAAGCGATTATCCTGCCTCAGCCTCTTGAGTAGCTGGGGTTATAGGTGTGTGCTACCACACTTGGCTAATTTTTGTATTTTTAGTA